GTCAAAAAAGAGAAATAAGACAAGTTTGTGAGATGTGTTAGCAAACGGTACGGTGATTGTTCTGGTGATGCAAGGAAGTGCCCAATCGACTTCGAAAATAAACTGTCTGCTCATCATAGCAGGTGTAGAAAGGATATTTGACATGCGAGCGCATTAACAAACCTTGTGACAGGAGCATTTCCTCATGTACTCAGGGCACATGACGAACGAACGAAAGTAATTAATGAAACGAAGTTCAATTCGAGTCCTGAAAGCCCTAGGCATTTCATGATTTTCTTAATTACTTGGGAAAGTGGTGGTGTATGGAAAGAGCGTCTCCAAATCACAAGTAACTGGTACATCCCCAATAATTTTAAGAAGTAACACCGTTGCCTACATATTTTCTGCTGATTGCTGATGTGCCCTGTACGATGCAGTGCACCGCCACCTGCACCTCAGCCCTGAAAAGGGCCGGTGGCGGCCGACGTTACGACCTCCCTCTCCGCTCCACTCCTCGCCATCCTCGGCTGCCACCGGGTGGCCGGCCCCGACGGCAGGTCATGCTCCTCTCCGCTCCGCTCCTCGCCGTCCTCGGCTGCCACCGGGTGGCCGGCCCCGACGGCAGGTCACATCCTGAGACGCGACGAGACTCTTCGGAGTCGAAGATTGGCTCGCAATGCCCGGCCCGACCGCCCCGCTCGACTACATCAGGCGGAGTAAACGCCTCAGCGGGCGGCGGGCACAGCAAGGTAGGATGGTGCAGCCCTGGACGCGGCACACCAGCCGGCTTGGCCACCCAGCGGCCCGGTGGGTGGCGCCGTGGGCGGGTGCTTAGTATTCGGCACTGGAAGATAGGGCACACCACCGGTTTGTCCTTCGCTATGCGAGGACGTGACTCAGCACTGCAGCTGCAGAAGTGTCATGTATATTGCGTTGCTTCATTTCTTGGGCTGGACTCCAATGAGGAGGTTTGGTACGATATGATGGCTAAGTATGTATGCAAATTACAATGAAGCGAGCGAATTTTATTCCGCTCTGGATTTCCACTCCGCCTTTTAGGCAGAAGCGCTGCCACCACAAAATATTGCTTTCTCCGCAGAGAAGAAGAAAGGCGTGACTGAAGAGCAGCCAATTGCCAACGGAATGAAGTGTGCCGATCCAGCTGTCGAGTCGACGACGTCAGGCCGTTGGGGTCTGGCTGTGGTTGTGCGGGGCCCTGGGCTTAGGACTCTGTTGCGGTCGACTGCGCTGCTGCAAGGACCGCGCAGCCGACTGTGTGATGCAAGGACCGCGCAGCCGACTGTGTGATGCAAGGACCGCGCAGCCGGCTGTGTGATGCAAGGACCGCACAGCCGACTGTGTGATGCAAGGACCGCGCAGCCGGCTGTGTGATGCAAGCAAAAAATCAAAGAAGCCATGGGCTCAAATCAGCGTGTTCTGAAAAACGAAATCAGCATTGAAGCAGTCCATGAATTGAATTAAATTTGAATCAGTCAATCAGCATAACTTGGAAAAAGAAATATTTCAAGTGCGAGAACGTGTAACAAAAACGTAAGAATTTCCTACGTTGGTCGGATCCACCAGCTGAGCGATTAGTTCTGGAAATATTTGGAAACTATCCGCGGCATGGCAGCGTCAGCAAAGTATCCTGGTCTCTGTCTATGTCTTAGGAGGAAGTTTTTGGAGGTTTTTGATTTTTGGGGATGTATAACGTTATACAGAGGCGTAATTTTACAGAAAAAGTTGTTGTGCTCAGCAATGGAAAATGACGAGACTCACTGGGAAAATGCGCCAACAAATAGGGTTCTCTCCAAATTTCGCCAACTTTCGCCGCAAATTTGGGTTCGGAACTCCGTTTGATGGGGAAGGGCTGGAGACTGCATAAGAATATGCACCCCTGAGCTAACTCGCCAAAGCTTTGAACACTCTTCTTCCTCAAATGCCTTGCGCGCATATCACACAACTTGATGATCCCTCGTTCTCATGTGTTAAGTGATATGGTTGGTGTGTTGATATTAACTTGAACTCAATTATTGTTCTTTGCCCAAAATACTGTAATCCGCTCTGCTATTCACTTGAGACATTCAAGCTGTCTTTCTTTGCATGCATCGTTGTGGATGGCTATACGCAGCAGCACGTTTGCCTCCTGCTCTTTCAGGCTGGTTCCATGTTAATTCAACTGGTCCAGACCGCAAGAATCATCGAAGAAAATCAAGAGCAAGAATCGAGTCAGACGCGATTCAGAATAGGGTAAAGGCTAGAAATCTGAATCACCGTCAACCAACAGAGAATTTGAAGCATTGTTGATTCAATTTTCAACCTTTATCAGATCAAGCACAGACGTGATTTATACATGACGTTAAATTGATCATGTTAAAGACATGCAATTTAGACATACTCTTCACATATGCTTTTAATATTCCTCTAAATAGGATTTTGAAATCACACGAATTTTCCAAACAGACCATCATCTTACCGAAAATACGGATTTAGGGGATAGTGCCACAGTTTTGGCTTCTAGGTGGAAATTATGTTTTCGAATTTGTTGCGAGGGCGAGCGGCCGGCCGTGGGTTGTTGCCGATTTATGAAGTGCTTGACGAAACAAAGAACCAAGGTTTTGAGTTCCCTACCATCCCGCTGGTCAAATGCCTCGATAAACAACAAAACTACAGGTGGTGAGGACTGAAATGGAGTGGAGGGGGCCGCGTACTGTGTGCCGTGGAATGCGTGCTGCGTTACGTGGGCTGTGTGCTGTGTCACGTGGGCCGTGTGCTGTGTCACGTGGGTCGTGTCCTGTGTCACGTGGGCCGTGTGCTGTGT